AAAGCAAGCCTTGACAAAGAGCTTAACCACATCACTTGGAATTGATTGAATGCCATCCCTGTGCCGTCCTTTCTAAGGGGCGGTTCTGTGGGAGACCTCGTGTTCGGTTCATGTGCATCTTCCTTGCGAGCGTCTGTTGAGAATTAATTGTAGCCTTCCTTTCTCGACCTGTGACAGGTAGTCCTTCTGGTGGCTGGACAGGGACCTGGTAAAAGGTGACAAGATGCACCTGCTCTAACGGTCTTCTCGATTTCATCCCTCCCTGATGGCTTGTAACTCGTCTGTCTCTCGTTCTAGATCGATGCCTCTTGAGACCTGGAGACCTGGGCTGAGCCGCGAGCCTCCTTGGGCGGGTCTCTGAGGGGCTGCGGCCTGTGCAGGACGCCGGGCTTCCTCCCGCGTGTATGCGGCCAGTGCTCCCCCACAGGCCTGAGGGATGTGCCCAGAGTGCTAGGGTGCTGACAGCTTTGCCCTGAAATCATGAAGGCCTCATGGGGAAAATGCCCAGGGACACCAACGCCTTCACTGCAAATGAGGTTTTGGGGCTGGAAAGCCTTGACCAGGTGCCTTTGTGTTTGACTAGAGGTCGCATGTGCTCCCTGCATGGCCAGGCCCGGCGTTCAGGTCCAGGTGGCCCTCGGCTGATGGCAAAGCCACGTGGGATGGGGGAGCTGCTGGGAGCTGGGCCTTGGCATCCGTTTGTGCCTTTAAAGTGGTCATCCTTTGAATCCACACGGGCGGCCAGGTGAAGACCTCTCGGTGCCCACGTGGGCAAGTGTGCCTCCAGCCTCCCGGCCATGGGGCTGGGTGTGGGTTCACTGGGATCACGTAGGATTGCCGACGTGCGGGGCAGAGTGGGAGGGGAGCGACAGGGAGATGTGCCACTGTCCCCGGAAGAGGAAACAGATAGTCCTGACCCCATTACTTGCTCTAAAGGTCCGAGGACAAACCCAGCACCACAGCCCGGCGTGCTGGCCTCATAGCATCTCTCCGGGCATGAAGGAGTGACCAGCGCTGCTGCTTTTTAAATAGAGTGCTTTGTTTGCTGCTGTCCCCATTGTCACATGTTGGGTCCCATGTTGGCTGTGGGCATTAGGGCTCTGGGACCAGGGCAGAGGTCACCTTTCGCCAAGCAGCAGGTGGGCTTCGGAAGGAGGCAGGTGGCTCCTGCCTGGCTCTGGAGTACTCAGAGTTGCGCCTCCCGGCAGGGCGCACAGAAAGCACTGAGAGAGCTGTGCTTCCCATCAGTCTGACAGGCGCCCCCACCCCTGTGCACACCCATCCCTGATGTGACCTCACCAGGCGCCATCCACATGTGGGCTGTGTCTTCAGAGAGGCTTAGGGTGTTGCTGCTGAGGCAACCCGATTCCAGTGGCGTCCCCAGGAGTTAAAAGGTGGGTGGGCTGGTGGGTACTGCCCTTTTCCAGAGGTCAGGTTTATGTCAGTGGTCATTTGCGTTTGACTATCATTTCTAGAGACTGCCTTTTCTTTTTAGTTGGTCACGATGCCTCTCTGAGCTGTTGGATCATTCGGGAGGTTACTCCACCTGTGGCCTCTGTGTTCACTGGGCAGGACTCGGACCCTGCAGCTGCTTTTCTTGCTCGTTTGGGTGACTCTCCCTGGTGGGTGGAGCATGGACCAGGGCCCACGAGGAGAACGGCATTGCGCAGGGTCTCTGGGCAGTTGGGCAGAAAGGCCTTGGTTAAATTTTAAAACAATTTAAAAATTTCAGACAGGTCCCCTAGTACCTAAAAGAAATAGGTTTGTGATAGCTGGTAAAATGAGGGGCATGGGAAGCGTTTTTAGACCAGATAGCAGTTTGATTTTGTTCTTACCGTTAATATTATTTCCCGTAAAACTACACGGTCGTCCAACGTACGGCACTTCCAGCGGCTCCTTCAGGTACTCCGTCTCTTACGTTGTTGGATTTCTCACTGAGATACTTTGGCTCGGGTTGGTTTCAAAGAGTTCTTAAACTTATCGTTATGTAACATTAATCTTTCCTGAACACACAGACTTTCAGGGATGAAGGGTTGGTTCTTCATCTAGGCCAACTCAACTTCCACAAAACTTGTTCCGTGTTTATACTTGTTTTGGGCTTCTCATGATACTTACCATCCTCACAGGACGTGAATGGGTGGCTTCACAAACTTGGGTGCCCATCACGTCTGTGTGTGTGAGTGTGAGTGTGAGCGTGTGTGTGAGTGTGAGTGTGTGTGTGAGTGTGAGTGTCCTTGTCCTCGGTTTCCATTTGAGTGGACAGCACACTCACTCTATGTGGTGATAATGGAACCCGGCCACGGAGGGTGGCAGGACAGGGGAGTCACACAGCTACCTGACCGGCAGGGCAGTCGGGGCCAGGCCTGGTTACCGCTGCAGGCGGTGAGCTTGGCCTCCTCGGGAGCTGTGCCTGGAGTGACAGTCTTCCCCTGCAGCTCAGCTCCTTCTGTGTGTCCCGCACCACAAGTGTTCTTCTCCCTCTCCTTCTTGGCCAGTTTTACAAATGGGTGTCCTGGTGGGACCCACCTGTCAGGAGGGCCCAGCCCAACCTGGCCCCAGGAGCTGGGACCCCGTCCTCGAAGCCTCCCCTTGGGAAGGGTTGGCTCCTCCTCAGTGAAAAAGCTGCTGAATCGCTCGGGCTTTCCTTCCCAGCCAGTGAGCCAAGTTTACAGAGAACAGTTATGGTGACAGCAGTGACCATCATCTGTGTCCCATCTACCGGAGCATGGCGTTGGTGGATGCCCTACACCATGGCAGGGCCGGTGGGGCCGGTGGTGAGGGCTGGGGCCATGGCCAACAGGGACAGATGGCGGGGAGGGTGCTTCTCAGAGCTTGTCGTCAGCAGGTGATCAGAGCCATTTGTAGGGACCCCCTTGCAGCATTACTCTCAAGGGTGGAAGAGAGGCACCTCCAGTTACTAAGCTCAGAGCATCAGACATTTAAATACCATGCAGGTTAACGTCGTAACGTGAACAGGTGGTCACAGCATGTTAAGTGCCAGACGTTCTATGTAACTGTGTACGTCACCGTTCCAATTTATAATTTTAAAAGTTACATGTTTATGCGTAGAAGCACCTTGTAAGACAGGTTTTGTTAACCGCAGTCACTCTGTGTCACAGGACACAGGTGATTTCTCATGCCTCCTGCGTGCTTTCACGTCCCTCCCACGGCCTCCACCACATGGACGCATGCATGTTAAAAGCCCCTGAATGTAAGAAAATGCTTTCCTTTGCAGGACAGGACTTAGAAAGCTGGCAGAGACCCGGAAAGCCTGGTTCTCAGGCCTGGTGGGGACTCGGAGGTCCTTTTCTGGGCTCAGAAACCAGAAGATGAGCAGTGACGGTTGTGAGCTGTGCTCCAGGCTACACAGCCCAGTCTTGGGCCCTAATGGCCTCACGTCTGGCCTGGTCGTGGAAATGGTCATCTTAGCAGCTGTGTCCCTGGCATGCACTGCCTATCGTGGGTGCGGGAGACCCCAGAGCAGAGTGTTCTCGGGGACGCGAGCGGTTGGAGCCCCTGGCAGGTCTTGCAAATGGTCCTACTGACACACGCTCTGGAAAAGGTGGAAACCTGGGCTGTATGATTATTTAGATGCCCTGTAAGGGCTCTTGGGAGAAAATTTAGGGCTTGTTTAACAAGCAAAACAGAGTTTTCCACTCAGGTTTTCCCTGTGTTTAATCAGGCGTGTTTCAGGCGCAGGCTGCAGAGTGACACACACACAGACCCCGGGCACGTCCAGGGGCCACTGAGCTCAGCGTCACTGCTCAGCACCATCCAGTTGGTGCCATTTCATGGTGATGTGTCCATAGCTGGGGTCTGAGCAGCAGAATGGGGGCATGCGTCACGGAGATGGTGGTGAGGGGTACCTGCCTCTGTGTGATGGGTATGGAGCTCGAGTGAACTGTCTGGTCACTCTTCCGGCTGGCTGGCCCGATCACCCCAGGGAAGGGCCCAGGGTTTGGGTCACCTCAGCCCCTCCCCCTCCCCACTCTCCTGGGCTGTTATTTGCAGTGTTTGTCCTCATGTCGGCCTCCCTCTCGGTGCCTCCAGGGGTGGTCGTGACTGTGGCCAGAGCCTGCCAGGCGTAGACATTTGGTAGGGATCTGAGGGTGTGGAGAGAGGCCACCCCGACCTGACCGGCTGCTCCCATTCCTGCTGGCGTTCGTTCCACTAGTCGCCTGGGGCTGAGTCTGCTGCTTTTGCCCCTGGTTTGTCCTCTGGGTGCTGATAACCGGCTGAGTGCGCTCTGTGCCCCTGCGGGTTGTGGGTGGTGTGACAGCCGGGGAGCTGCATCCAGATGGGGGGTGGGGTGGGGGTGGGGGGACAGATGTCTGCCACCCAGCTCCTTGCCCAGGAGGAAATGCAACTGCAGGACTTGCTCAGGAGGACTTTGGATTTCTGGGGTGCTGGGAGGACGCCCTTCAGGCTCAAGAGGGTGTGACCGTGGAATCTGCACTGCCACTTGGGGTGAGCTGCCCCAGTGCGGCTAACACCTGGGCCTCCAAGGCCGTGGCGTTGTCCTGGTGTGGAATGTGGCCTCAGCCACAAAGCCGAGCTGGCCACAGGGTGACCCTCTGAGCCCATGGCTTGCTTTCTTAAAAAGGCAGGGAGGTAGAAGTGGGACGAGCGTTTGGGGCGGTGTTGACCTGTCGCTCGCTCTGCGATGTCCACCAGGCGGCACCTCCCCTGCATTCACGGAGCAGCGCTGCGTCCTGCAGATATGTGGGTCTGGCCATGGCTGCCCTCTGCCTCACCGGTGCTGACACTGTTTCTGTTACGATCCCTTATGTGACTCACTGTGTTTCCGATGCTGACATGTAAGAAATTGGCTGTGTCTGAGAAGTGGGTGCAGTCGCCTGTGACTTTTCTTTGTCCCTGGCCACCCAGTACCTCTGACACCTCAGGAGAAAAGCTCTGTGCCCTCAGGCCGGTGGGGAGAGTGTGAGTGGGGGCCCTCGGCCGGTGGCCGTGTGGTGACTCGCTCTGTTATCTTCTTTCAGTGAACGAGTTCACGGTGATCAGGAAGAAGTTCAAGTGCCCGTACTGCAGCTTCTCGGCCATGCACCAGTGCATCCTGAAGCGGCATATGCGCTCCCACACGGGCGAGCGGCCCTACCCCTGCGACATCTGCGGGAAGAAGTTCACGCGGCGCGAACACATGAAGCGACACACACTGGTGAGTGCGGCAGTGGGGCACGGCGTTGGGGCACGGCTGGGGACAGCAGGGCATGTTCTGGGCTCCACCCTGCGCTCCGCCGGGGTGCGTGGCTGGCAGTGCAGAATGCCACAGGAAGTCCTGAAGTGGGGTCCACCCCAACCCCCGTGTACCCCAGCCGGCTGCGCCCCCAGGCTTGGGTGCAGAAGAACCCCCCCCCAGGTTGCCTTTGGGGCCCCTCTGCTCCAGCCTGACCTCAGCAATGCTTCCTCTTCTGAGGCCCCCCAAGGATCCCCACATGGCCACTTCCTCTGTACCCCTGCCCTGAAGTAGTTGCAGGACCCCAGTTGCTACGGGACCCCAGTCTCACAGCCACATGCCCTTGAAAGGTGTCGATTACCTATTTCTCATGGGCACTGGCTTGAAGTCGTCAGGTAGCAGGAACTGAATGGTGGATGTGCTTGGCCAGGAAATGATAGAAAAGGTCCTCCTGGAAATGGAGGCATATTCCCCAAAAAAGACAGGGTGAGGGACCTCTGTGTGGGTGAGATAAGCCAAAGAAGCCGGGGGGCTTGGGCTGGGGACGGACCAGGAGGCTGCACGTGGTGACTGAGCTTCCCTTGAATGTGCACTGGAGGTGGGGTGCAGGACTGCAGGTGGGCCAGCTCGGGCTTGGAGCTGTTTATGGAGAGGCGGTGGAGGCAGCCCTGGGCTTGCGTGGGGCTGAGGGGAGGCCGTTGTGTGATGTTGTCAGTTTGCGATCTTAGGGGTGTCCAGAGTCACCTGTGGGTACACAGGCTTGGCTGGACATCTGTAGCATGCTGACTTGCTGACCATCAGGAATAGACCCACTAGGAGGCGTGGGAGCGAGGCCGGCCAGGCCAGTCTGGAGGGGCCATATCATATCGGCAAGCGTGGCCCAGGCGGGCAGAGTGGTGGCCTTGGGGCTGGGCCAAGGCGAGCCCCCAGGGCCTGGCTGCTGGCAGGGCGGCCACTTGAGTGAACAGGTCCTTGCTGTGCGAGTCTGTCAGCACAGTGTGCAGAGCTCACTGCTTGGAGGCTCTGGTTGCGTCGGGGTCCCGTCCAGACTGGGCTCTCACTGGACCCTTCCCACCGGGCAGCCTTACCTGGCTGTTTGCTTTCCCAGCCCAGCAGGGGTACTTACTTGGGGGTGAAGACACCTAGGGGAGATCCCTTGAGGTCAGTTAGAAAAGCTGGGGGATGTTGGTGACAGCCGTGGGAGTAGGGGCCCCAGCTCCCCAAGGTGGTGTCCCGCAGAGGAGGAGAGCAACAGCCCTGGACCTGGAGGGCATGGCTGCAAGGCCGCTGGACATGGTGACTTCCAAAGTCCCTTTTGTCCAGCTCTACTGCTTCTGCTTAATCCACAGTGAGCTGCAGAGGCCCCTTTTAGCGAATGCTTTAGAGAGAGGGGTCGTGTCCAAAGAGAACTGCCTCTTGTGTGCCCCACTAACAAGTGCTAGAAAGTCATAGTAACGTGGGTTGCTACATGTTTTCTGTAGCAAAACCGCATTCATACTCCAGTAAACACGGTCCTGCTCCAGGCGCAGGCTCGGCCTTGCCGTTCAGCTTGGATGAGGCCGGACTTTTGTCGTGGGTTTGCGGGTGGGCTTCCCGGAGGGTCAGCCTCCCTGGACGTGTGCTTGAAACGTGAGGGCTTATTTTTCTCTGTGGAGGGGGTCTCCATCGTTCCCTTTAACTTCTCCGGGGCTCTTGATCCCGAGGACGTGGCTGAACCCCGACTCCCAGCAGATGCAGGGGCGGCTTCCACTGGACCAGCTGAGCCGTGGTTGCCATGGCGCCCGCTTCCCTGCTTCGCCCGTCCTTCCAGTAGTTCATTCGGATGAGTACCCGGCCATCTGGTCCTTGTCGCTTCCGGTGTCCCTGTGGCTGGCACTGCCCCCTGCCCCGCCCTGCTCCCCAAACAGCGTCCCTGTGGCTGGGCCTTTCATTTTTGTCCTTTTGTTGGGGGAGGGTTGCAGAAGCCCTGGATTTAAAATTTATCGAAGAAACAAAGACCCAGGAGGATCCTGGGGGCAACATCGTTTCAGGTTGCGTTTCTAGAATAGGCACGGGCTCTGAGCGTCCCGCCCAGCCTTCCCGGGGGCTCCCTGCCCCAGACCTGCTCCCCACCCTATGTCTGCTGCAGTGGGTGGCCACACTCGTTAGCCTACAAGGTCGTTACAGGGTCTTGGGCCAGGCGTGATGGGACAACGGGGGGACCACTGGTCAGGGAGTCCGGGACAGTGACACACCGGTCTGGCAGTGTTCACACACAGGAAGGACAGCCCAGCACCCCCTTTCCAACATGACCCTTGGTCACGACCCCGTCCCCCTCACTGGCCGCCCTGTCCCCGCAGGTTCACAGTAAGGACAAGAAGTACGTGTGCAAACTGTGCAGCCGCGTGTTCATGTCAGCCGCCAGCGTGGGCATCAAGCACGGGTCCCGGCGCCACGGCGTGTGTGCCGACTGCGCGGGACACGGCATGGCCGGGCCGCTGGATGCCGCTGGCACCGACGGCTCCCCCGAGCTCTTCTCTGGCGACGGGCCCTACCTGGAGGACCCTGACGACCCACGAGGGGAGGGTGAGGAGGAGCTGGGTGAGGATGAGGACGACGTGGGTCTGGCCCACGAGGACGCACTGCTGGGGGACGACAAGGACGACGATGACTCGCCCCGGGAGCCCCGCAGCCCCTCAGGTGGGCCTGACAAGGACTTTGCCTGGATCTCCTAGGCCCCCTGGCTGGGGGCTGCAGCAGTGGCAGTGCCACACCTCCACCTGTGTGTGCGTGCTTAGGGTCTTCACTTGCTGGGGCAGGGCCGTGCTGACTCCTGGCAGCCCCTTCTCCAGGTCCCCTCTATCCTGTTCCCGCCCCCCAGACACACACAGAGAAACCAGCCCTGTGGTCTCGGAAGCAGGTGCGGCCCCAGCACGTGGGGGGCTCTGGGATGGAATACGGAGTTGGTGGGGTGCAGGGTGGGCTTGAGTGAAGGGAGAGCGTGTTCCCACCATCTGTGGGGACAGAGAGGGTCCCCAGCAGGTGTGTATGGGCTGAGCCTCAAGGGGGCCCATGGGGCCGACCTGGCCTTGGGATGCCCGATGGCCCAGTGGCCAGATCAGGGTCGGCGCTGCTCGGATCCGAGAGGTGTTGGGGGGGGGGTTCTGTGTGCTCCCCGCTGCGTGCTGTGCTCCAGCCCACCCCGTCCCCCCACACCCCTCACAGCAGCCTGGTCACTGCCCGGAGCTCTCTGTCCTCATGGCTCTGCTGCCTGCAGAACCCAGGTCCTCCATACAGAGAGGCCCTGGGCTTTGGTGCTCCACACAGAACAGCTGCAGAAGCCCCGCCGGGCTGAGGGCTCCCAGGTGCTATCTTCTGGTGGAGGCAGCGGCTGGGGACCTTGGTCCCCACTGCAGGCCCACTCGGGGTCCCTGCAGGGTGCCCCACTCTTAGTTCTGTGTGCACTTCCTTGGAGAGCCTGGGCTCTGCCCACCCTGCGGCACCCAGGCCACGCCTGCCACCCCCTCCCCACCCCTAGGCGCTTCCTTTGTTGCTGCTAGCACTGGAGGCTGTGCTCCTGACTGCTGGGCGCTGCTCACGCCTCCCCGAGTGGGTAACCGAACTTTCGAAGTAGTCACACACATGCAGAGGCAGTTACGTGGAATTGTTGGGTTTGGCATTATTTTTCTCACTTGACAAAACAGAGTTGTCTTTCTTTTGGCTCGTTGGTCAAGTCCCCTTGCTGTCACACAAGCCCACGACCTGTCCTCTCTTTTTTGACCTGTCCTCATGACCTATCCCCGCCCCGTGGAGAGCAAAGGCCCTGCCTGCTGCACCACTGGCTGTGAGTGCTGCCAGCCAAAGGACAGATGCCTGTCTGTCTTCCATGTTCGGGCTGTGTCCGACACCCCCTCGTTGCTGAGACTGCCTTCCCTCACAGCCACCTGGCTCCCACAATCCTGCCACTTGACCCACACAAGGACTCACCGTGCCTGGCTGGAGACAGTGTTTTTATTTTCTTCCACAGACTCTAAGCAAAATGGCTTTCACCACGTTTGCTATTGTGTCACGTCTATTCTTTCTAGGTGGAAAACACCACAAAACCTTGACGCAGGTTTCAGTGGTGGCTTGGGGCACTAGCCTCCTGGGCTGCTGCTGGGTGGCAGGGTGTCCAGGGCTGGCCCCGGCCCGTGCACGGGACATGGTGCTGTCCTTGAAGTCCTGCCCCAGGGGAGAAGTCCCGGCTTTTGTGTTATTTTTCAGTAAAATCAGCCAGCTTCTATGAGTTCCAAGAAGGCACTCTTACTGGAGCTGTCACCTGGCTTGCCTGCCCCCACGTCCCTCTGCTGGGGACTCGGAAGTTCCTGACACTGGCATCCTTAAGACAAGGGCCAAGGTTCTCCCAAACCCGCGCTGGGGCAGGAGCCAGGCGGGCGCTGAGCCCTCTGTGCTGCCAGCTCTTCCTGCCCTGTGGGCCAGGCCCAGGCAGGGGCTGGACGCACTCCCCTTTCGGCCTTTCACCAGGGAGGCCTGGCTGAGCCCCCCGGGCTCTCAGAACTCTGTACCTCCCCCCACTTTCTAAACCCTTTTCTAAACAGACCTACTTTCTTATAAAATGGAAAACAGACCTTTGCTACCAACAAGTGTCTCTGGGCTTTGCACCGGTCCCACCTCTCAGGCTGTCCTGTCGGCGCCTGGGCCACCTCTGCCTCTGCACTCAGGACATCTTGGTCTTTCTGACCTGCTCACTCCCCATTCTGGTTGGCCCTTGCTCACCTTTCTGGGGGTCCCCTGTCAGTGCCACAGGGGTGTGTTCTTCCTTAAAACCAATACTGTACTGGAAGACCTAGGGCCTCACTTCCTGCCCCATCAAGCTCCCCTGGTGTTTGCTGCTGGCAGGTTCACATTCCCATGTGGTGTCAAATTTGAGATGGAGATGAGTGTGTCACCTCTCAGGAGGCGTGGAGGGAAAGGTGTGTCATGAAGGGTTTTTTTATGTGACTGGTCTTTTTTTTTTTTTCAAATGTTTAAACTAATAAATATTTTTTTACGAAGAGGAAAAAGTGTGTAGCTTACATTTCACGTTTTGTACTTTTTCATTTGTGTCTGTCTGCATTTTGGTGTTTGCAACACCAAAGTGGAAAACAGTTCCGAGGGTGGTGAATTCTTGGGGTGGGGGTGGGGCAGGGGGCCCGGACAACTTTTGCTCCAAGCTCGGATCCCGACCAGGTTGTACATTTGGACCCTGGGTTTTGGGAAAGTCACAACACTGCCAGGACTCAATAGGGACCTTGGGACCTTGACTCAAAAGACACAGCTACTGCTTCCAACTTTGCACATCTTCCTTTATATAAAACTCTGAGAAATGCAAAAACTGGAACTTTTTGCAATATTATGAAAGATAATCTTATTTTTGCTCATTCTGTGACATGTGCAACTCTTAAAAAGCCATACTTAATGGTTGTTTTTTAATTTTTAGACCCTATGTTGTGTTTTGTATGCAGCCCTTTTAGAAATACTTGTAGTGAGGGTGCTGTGTGTGTGCTTTCCTTAAATATTTATTTTTTCAACATGCTATCAACCTGTCAACAAAAACAAAACACAAAAAAAGGGCAGTGCTTGAAGAGTGTTGATTTTTTTCTGGGGATAATCTATATTATACTGACTTTATATTAATTATTATAAACCTGTGTTTGTATTGGCGATGTGTTTCATACCGGGGGGAGGAGGTTTCGTAATCGGTTGGTGGGATGTCAGGGCTGTCGCCTGCTTCTCTGTAGCCATAGGACAGGTAAACAACATTCTCTAGTGGTCTTGCGATTTCTTGTCTGCCTGGGTTCCGGGCCTGCCTGCGGGTTTCCTTTCTGTGACGGGATTAGCTTAGACGTTCTTGCAAAGCGATCACTTTCAATAAATTGGGAAATTGCTGCTCAAGCAGACGCCTCACGTGTGTTTCAGTGTCCCCTCCTCCAGTCTCACGCTGGGCGGAGGTGGCCAGAGAGTGACCCCCAGCCCTTTACAGCTTGTAGCCGGCCTTCCAGGCCTGCCCAACCCACCACCTCTGCCTGTGGCAGGGTCCCAGTTCCATGTCCTTCCCCTCAAGAGGCAGACACACTTCTGGAAAAACCCCAAACCTTTAATTTTTCTCTCCTGGCAAGACACCTGAGCTTTGCAAACATGGTACTAGTGTCAGCCCTGGGCCGGTGAACCATCAGGCTGTGTCGACGGGGGAGGCCCCTCCCCAAAACCCCTCAGCGTGCACCCAGGACTGGCTCCCATGTAACCTCAAATCCAGGTCCATCAACACCCTTGACAAGTCCATAGACAGGCAGGGAGGGCAGCCACCCCCCGGGGACCCTTGTGTGGCTTTAGTGCAAAAGGCTGGTTTCTTCAGAGGCACTTTGAGTGGCGGGACCCTCCTCCACCTCTGGGGTCCAGGGTCACCAACATCCCCTCCCCCCCATTAAAAAGTAGACCCTGCAGCTAGGAGAGGCCCCAGACGGGCTGGGGGTGGAAACTGTTCTCCTCTAACTCCTGAGGGAATGCTGGGGCAGGTGGCTCAGTCCAGGAAGCGCCTGCAGGCCTTTTTCCAGCGGCAGGCAGCGCACCACAGGTCCCTGCGCGCTGTGCCATACACCTTCCGGCACTTCTTGGCATCACCTCGGGGCTTCCTGGGGGAGCATACGGGGGCATGGGGCACTGTTGGGCCGGGACCTCCCCCGCCTGGCGCCTGCCCCGGCCCCTCAAAACACACACACGCACCTCAGGCTGGCACCAAGCTTGGAGGGCAGGGCGGGCATGCAGGCCCCACCTGTGGTGGGCTGTGGCTCCAGCTGGGTGGGTGCCAGGCAGCCCTGAGAGGAGGCACAGTGGTGGTCTCGCTCCCCTCCAGAGCACCCTGAGACCCGGCCCCAGCGGCTGCCTGTGACCTCACCCACCTGGTAGGCGTGGTCACTGCGGCACACCTGGGCGGTTGCCACAGAGCCCAGCCCCGGGGATGGGGATAGGGCAAGTGGGTGCAGCAAGCCAGGCAGGGCCCCCGGTTCTGACAGCTCCACGTGGGGGCACGCGGGCAGCATGGAGGCTGTGGGGGACATCGGCGTCAGGCTGGACAGCCCGTCGGTCAGAGCATCGAGACCAATGTCCAGCTCCGTGTAGTAGAAGTCCTCTTCACCATCACCATCGCTCTGCTCTGGCTCCGCCTGCCGCCTGCTGGGGACACAGCAGGTGAGAGCTGAAGCTGTGGCCCACTGGCCTGCCCCACCCCCACCTGCCAGCCACCGCACCCCAGGTGCATCAGGCGGATGTGTCTCTGCATCGCAGGCGCGGAGCTCAGCACCTTCCCACAGCGCTTCCACAGACACTGGAACAGGACCTGCACCGAGCTCTAGGCGACAAGGGCCGGGGTCAGGCTCAGCCACCCGTGTGCACCCCACCCCAATGCTGTCCCCAGACTCACCTTCCTTTTCCTAGGGGCAGGCTCCCCAAACAGGAAGTGGGCTGCCTCAGGGGGCAGTGGGGGCGACGGGGTAGCTGGGGAGGACTGCTCACTGGCCAGGTCCCAGCCCCAGTCCCCACTGGGGCCGCTGCCGTAACTGCCTCGCGGCCTCACCAGGCTCTCCTGCCAGGGCTGCAAGCCGGGCTCTGCGGGGACACGCCAGGCCAGTGTCAGGATGTCCGTGGCTTAGGCTGCTGTGCCGAAGCTGCAGCTGCCAGTCCCTTGAACTCTGAGCTTCACCTGCTTACGTGTTCACAGGTGAGTTTGGTGGGCAAAAGCCTCTTGGAGGGGGCAGTGGCCAGGAGGAGCTGGCCACAACAGCTTGGGGACTAACCTCCCTAGCACAGGAAGGATAAATGGAAGCCTGTGTGGGGAGGTGCTTGGCCAGCCAGGTGGACGTGGACAGGTCATGGAGGCCTGGGGCACTGAAGCTTTGGCCTCAGTGCAGGGGGGTGGCGGGGGAGATGGTTCCTGAAGCCTGTGTTTACAAGGTGGTGCTTCCCCCCAACCCCAGGGTCCTGGAGGAACAGTGGCCCTGGGCCCTGCCCCCACCCCTACGCCATGCCCAATCTCTAAGTCTCACCTGTGCTGAAAGCTGCGGCTGGAGCCCCAAGCAGGAGTGGGCTGGTGGACAGGCTTGTGAGGGCTGCGGCTGCCATGACCTCATCAAGCCGGGCTTTTCCTTGGGGGGCTCTGGAGGAGAAGGGGATGGGTTGGAGGAGAAGGGGCGGGTGGGGCCCAGCAAGTACTCCAGACCCCTCCCCAGGCTAGGCACACACGTGCAGGCCTGGGCACGTGTGTGCACACCAGGCTCCCTCGCTCCAGGCGCTGGGCAGGAGGCCCAGCTCCGCCCCCAGCTCGGGTTGCAGGGCCCCAGATCTCCAGGAACCACCAGGAACCGGGCCTGGGCTGGGGTCTCGCGGAAGCCCGAGTTATCTGCAGCCAGGCCTTTGTTCCGGGTGTCTCCTCCAGGCCCTGGTGCTGGACCGGGGTCTGAGGCCCCACCAGCGGGGCCAAGGCATGAGAAGCTCAGCCCTCCCCTAATCACACATTAACCAGGGCTGTGCGACAGCAGCTGTGGGCCTAGGGCCAGNTAGTTATATGAATACTTGCATGTCTGACTATTACAACTCCAAGATCAAGGAACATAATAACTGCCCCTAGCATATTGTCAGGCACACAGTAGGTCCTCAACAAACCCATGAGTGAACATTTTGAGTGGAGAGGAAGAAAATATCTATTGATATTTATTGTACTTTGGGGTTGGAATCAGGCTGTTGAAGGATTTTTTCCCCCCTACGTCAAAAGCCATTGAATTTCAAGATTGAAAGGTAAGTGGTCATTTAGTCCAACCCCTCACTTGATGCACGAGTGGGCTCTTCAGCCATCCTGACAGCATGACCAAAATGCTTGGCTGAAACATCCTTGCCTAGGAAGATCACTGCCTCACCACTTCTGGTCTTTTCCATTCATTCTCCTTTCCTACTCCTCCCACTTCATTGCAATCTTTATGGTAGCATTTTCCACACCTGGTGGAGCAGAGGCCTTGAAGTCTGCAGGTGGAAGGAACAGAGGGAACCCTAGCCTAACTCAGACTCTGAGAACTACTGGCTGAAGGTGCGAGCGCTGTAGCTGACAGCAGGGTGAAGTAGCGGTGCCCCCTTCCTGCTGGGTTGGTCCCTGCTCGCGACCTTGGGGGGCGGAGGCGGGGGCGGGAGCGGCTAGCAGTCAGCAGCAGCCAGGAGAAACGCCTCTAAGCACAAGCGGTTCTCCAGGCCCCAGCGGGCAGGCCAGAGGCGGGGGCGGGAGCAGCTAGCAGTCAGCAGCAGCCAGGAGAAACGCCTCTAAGCACAAGCGGTTCTCCAGGCCCCAGCGGGCAGGCCAGAGCCCACTCCTGCCTGTGCAGCCAGCCCAGGATATTGGGCACACAAGAGGGTTTCACTGCAAAGCTGGAAGCCTGGGGACTCCTGAGCAGTGGACCCCACGCCGGCCCACATCCTCTACTGCACACACAGACTGACAGCGGCCCCCTCCAAGCTATGACCTCTGGCCCCCAGGGTTTGAGGGGAACAAGAGATACTAACACACTTATCGTTTCTGCTCAACTCTTCCAGGGCTGGAGAGCTGGGGGTGTGGCCAGAAACCCAGTTCGGGACCCTGGCCTACCCCGAAACGAGAACCCCCGCCACCGTGGGGGTGTCGAGAAGACACATGCCTGCGTCCCACCCACCGCCCGTGCACACAAGGGAGCACGTGTGCGCACGCCCACCCCGTTCAGGCGTGCCGGCTCACCTATGCGCTGGTACCGGGATGTGCGTCGATGGTGTCTGGGCTCCCGCCGCCGCCCCCGCCCACGTCTCCGGGTCCCGCGGCTCTGGTTCCTGCGGGGGCGCGAACTTCAAGCCCGCAAAGCCGCTACTAACGGCAGGGCCCTGCGGACCGGGTGTGCTCAGCAGAGGCAACGGCCCGGGGTCTCCAGCCCCCACCCCAGATCCGCTGGGCACCCCCTCAAAAGAGCTGCGGCCGACGCGCCCCGCCCCGGCGGCAAGTGCCCCCCAGCGGCCCGGCCGAGCCCCGCGGACCCACAAACACGCACGGGTCGCAGTCCCGCCCCCGGGGGCCCAAAGTTTGTGCAGCCCCGACGCCATCTTTGCAGCGAGCGCACTCTGGCGCCCCGCCCCCGGCACTCGGTACCTGCGGCGGCGCGGGCACCGACACGGGCGCGGCCGCGGGGTCCCGGCTGGCGGCCCGGGGCGGGGGGTGCCTGCAGCCCGGGCCGGGTGCCGGAGGGCGCTCGGCCTGCATGGCCCGCCGGCCGGGGGCCGAGGCTGCAGCTGCAAGGGTGGACGCTCGGGACGCAGCCCCGGGCCGGGCCGGGCTGGCGGGGCCGCCGACCCCCGCCCTGGATCGGCAGCCTCCCGCGCCGCGCTGCCCCGAAGCTGTGACCTGCCCCGCCCCCTCCATGCGGCCCCGCCCCAGGCGCGAGCCCATTGGCCAGCACGCTGTATCAACATTCTGAGGTGGACCGTGGTCTGGGCCAGCCGCGCTCCCATTGGCCTACGCTCCGAGGCCCCGCCCCGGGGCCGGCCGCTCCCGCGCTGGCCGGGGATGGGGGCCCAGCTCGCGGCACCCGCCCGCCGGTCCGCCCCTGGCCTCTGCGGAGTTCTGGCCCGCGCGCGCGCGCGCGCGCCGCCACCGCCGCCGCCGGGGAGGGCCGGTTTCCTCGCGGGGTTGCCCGCGTGCGGAGCTGCCAGATCCGGGGAAGGGGCCGCGTCTCCTTGGCGGGCTTCCCGGGAGCAGGTTATTCTTTAACGCACGACTACCCCCCCCCTTATGTAACCCAGGGGCTGGGTGGTGGAGCCCTCTTTTGGCGTTCAGGGTCCAAGTCCCACCCTGGGGCGGCCACCCTGCAGGCCCGCTGTATTCCTGTATAGAACTGACTCGGCCTGGGGACCACCACCCCTAGGCTCGCCCCACTCCCCGCACTCTTTGAGCCTGAATGAGGGCCCAGGCACCCAAGGAAGGAGAGAGCCTGCCCCCGAGGTAAGAGGGTGTCTTTACTCCGTCCAGTCAGCACCACCCCTCAGGCTTTCAAGAAGAGATGGCTGTGAGGCACGATGTGTCCATCTTCCCTGAGTTGGGCATTTATTAAGACCTGGCTGGGAGAGGCCAGGTAGCCAGGGCCCTGGAGGCTGGCGGCCCTGGGATCTGGAATTTGTGCTGCCAGCTGTGTCTGTGTGTGCAGCGGGGGGTCAGGCCCCACACGGGAGGAACATCTGTACTTGGTGTTCAGGGCAGGGAGGGGATGGAGACCCCTCCCCAGGCTGAGGAGGGGGGAGCAGGCTAATAGCTACATCTGGGGGGTGCCTGGCGCTCAGGGGTCCCCATCTCCTGGATGCTCTCATACACGTTTTCCAGGAGGCCCTTGTCCACACGCAGGCCCCTGAGTGGGAGAGCCTCACAGGCCAGGTCGCTCCCCAGAGTCAGACTCGCTCCCCCGCCCGTGGGGTCCTGCTGGTCTGTGGCAGGTTCTGGGTCCTTCCTTTTCGGCTTGTTGACCCTGGAGTACAGGATGTCCACCTGCAGAGAGGGAGCCAACCCAGGAAGAGGTCAGCACCATCCACTCTGAGGAGGACATGCCCAGCCCCTCTCACCCCATCCCACCTCCTCTACTTTACCTGAGTGGCCGGGGTCCCCTCGGCCTTCCCCTGCTCCAGGGCTTGGGGCCCCCAACCTGCTCCCTTGAGCTTCTGGACACAAGCATACTCAGCCACCACGGGCCTGGCCTCAGGCCCAGGTCTGGCCCAGCTGCTGGTCAGCCGGGCCCCTGCCCACACGACAGGGCTGGCTGCCAGGCTGGCCCTGGGGATCGCAGCCAGCCCCACATTGGAATAGGTGGCCTCGTGGCTGATGGAGGGCTGGGCGGCAGAGGTAGCAGGCCCGGGCCGGGGCAGTTCCCGGTGTGAGAAGGCCGCCTGGGGCCTGGTGGTGCCTCTGGACACCTCCAGACATTGCGGGCGCAAGAGATCCATGCTGACAGGCCGCGGAGCTGGGGGTGGGGTCAGGGTAGAGGTCACTTGGGTGGGTTTAGGGGGTGCGGTGTGGCAAACCCCACCCACAGTCTTCCCAGTCCCAGCTCAGCTTACCCCTGCAGACTGGCGGGCCCCGGCACAGCTCATGCAGTCTGGTGTCCGACTTGCTGAGGGAGCAGAGGTGCGGCTGCCTCAGCAGTGACTGGGGGCAAGGAAGGCTGGTCGGTCCCATGCTGACCCCACCCTGGCCCTGGGGACAGCCTGGCACTCACCTGCACCGCACTGCCCTGCAGCTCAGCCTGCTGCCTCCGTGCCCGCTTCCTGGGGGCAAGAGGGTGGTGAGGCCAGGGAAGCAGAGATGGGGGGCGGGGGCCCCAGCCTTTGGTCCAAGGAGGGCCTGCCTGGAGCCCTGCCCCCTCTGGCCACAGAGCTGAGTCAGGCTCCACGTGGAATCCAGACAAAGGACAGACATACCTGTAGCAGGCTGTGCATAGAACCCACAGCCAGAGGAGCAGGGCCAGGCACCCTAGGACCCAGAGGATGGGAGGGGCCGAGGGCATCTGTGGCCCCATCGTGTGAAGCCCTGCACCAGCCTGGGGGCAGAAGACAGGATGCTAGGGACTGACTGAAAGACTGGGCACCCACCCGGCAGCCCCATTTCTGAGCCTCAAACTATTGGGCGGTCTCCTCCCCTTGGGCGCTCTGACTCAGCACAGGAAACCCCAAGGTGCAGCAGCCCCTCCCTCCTACAGAGGCCCAGAGGACAGCGTCAGTGCCTGCCTTCCCGCCTCTGGCTGGGGGGTCCTGTGGAGGTGTGAGGTGTGATCCTTCTGGCCCCCGGGAGGAAGTACCTCGGTCATCAAGGATGACCCAGACGGCCACAGAGTATGGCCAGTGAGGAGGGGCGGGGCAACTGTGATGTGGCCAAGGCCTCCCTGCGGTCACTGCAGCCCAAACCTGAGAGCTGGGGAGGCCCCTTCAGCCACACCCATGAGCCTGGGAGCCTCAGGCCAGACCCACCTGTAGCCATTCCCTGCCCAGATCTTTCAAGTGATGCCCCCTGGCCCTTCACTAGAGCTGGGAGCCCCGAAGAGCTGGACTCAGGGCTTAGCAGGGCTGCAGGGGACAGGGGTCCACCCACAATTGGCACAGCCTTTTAGTCCAGTCTGCCCAGACCCAGGGAGTGGGCTCCCCACACGAGGGCTCAGGCTGCCCACCTGGTCACAGCCAGGTCCCCATGCCCTGACCTGGTAGGGCCTAGTCTCCTAAGAACCCAGCACTTAACTGCCCCCAGGAGGGCACCAAGGGGCCTGGAGACCTGGCCAGGCTAGAGGCCAGAGCAGACACTTACCAAGGCCATGGGCACAGTGGTACCTCCTCAGCCCTGTGTGGGGAAAGCCAGGCAGCTTGGTGCCCCAGGAGCGGCGCCTTTGTGCAGCTCTCAGCAGAGCTCCCCACCTCACTTCCTGCCTGTGGGTCAGGCTGCATCTCAACCCCGGTGCAGCTGCTCCCGCTGCAGCCTCACAACCTCACCCACCTGCTGCTGCCCCCGCCTGGGGTCTAGACATTAGTCACTGGGTGTGTGCTGCGAGAGCCTGCCTCACGTCATCACCCGACCAGGTGGGCATGCGCAGGCGAGACAGGCGTGGCTTAGTAACAGGTGGTCTTGTGCCGTTGAGGCTCCTGGGTGTGGCTGAGGGTGAACCTCGGGCTCCCAGACCCACTCCCCCAGGTCCTCCTGCCCATTAACAGAGCTCCGTGAGGGACCGGGCCCACCACCTCCCACCAAGCGCCACCTGTTTGTGGCTGTCAGGCATCATGGGGAGACCCCTAGGTTCTGATCCATCTCAGAGCCCCATCTGGGAGAGCAGGCAGAAGGAGTGCTCCTGGGCCCTTGGCCTTGGGAAGGGGGCAGTGGCCAAACTCGGGACTCCTCTAGCCCTGCCCCACCCCGCCCCCTCAGCCCCTTTCCCCCAAAGACACAGTCAGTCGGGCCTCCACTGAGACACCGCAGCACAATCACTTTAATGTCCTTGCCAGAAAGACTCCCTAAGACACTGGCAGGTAGGCTCAGTGGGCAAGTGATGTCAAAAAGTGACCCTGTAGCCCCAACTCCACTCGGCAGTGTCCATAGCCCCAGGCTGGCCAGAAGGCTGCCTGGTCTAGCCTGGTAGCGGCTGGCCCTCTCCAGGCGGCATCTGGTTGCTGGGCAATGGCTGGTCTTCCTGAAGGGAGCAGGGAGGAGGCTGAGCCCATCACGTGTACAGGGCTCTAGAACTCCGTCATCTTCCTGTGGGTGTCTGCCTTGCCCCGCGCCCGCTTCAGGCCCGCCTCCTGGGCCCGGAGCTGCCCCAGCTGCTGCTGGGCTCCTGCCAGCTTCTCCTGCAGCTGGGCCACTGTCACGTTGTGCCTAGAGAGAGGCCTCCACTCACACAAAGCCACCAGGCTGCGGTGGCCAGGGCCCGTCCTCCCGCCATCACCCAGACCCTCCGCAGGGGCAGCCCACGACCCTTGGTTGGGGCGAGCTCTTGCACGTGAACTGTGGGCTGGGTGCTCAGAGCAGGGCAGGAGGCCTGGTCACCCTGGGGCCAGCCCTCTGCAGAGTCCTGCCCCCGTACCGGCCGGTGTTGCGGGCGAGGGCCTCCTGGATGCCTCGGATGTCCCGCTGGGCCTGCTCGATCTTCTCCTCCGTCTGGAAGAGCCGCACGCTCAGGGCCCGCTTGTCGCTCTTGCTGGCGTGGTACATCTCCTTGCTGCTCCTCCTCCCTGAGGGGGCCGCCCCTGCCTCCAGGGCCCCAGGGTCCTGGCCTTGCAGCTTCTCATTCAGAAAGTCGAACACATTCCGAGGGGGCGGACGGCCCCCCGGCCCGCCCCTTCGCCCCCGGCATTTCGGGGGCCTGTTGGGGCCAGCCTTGTTGCCCTTGGCCCCCCTCTGCAGGGTCTCCATGCACTGGTCCAGCGACTTCCCTCGAGGGAGCACCAAAGCGTGGATCGGCTCCACCCGGCCATCCGCATGCCGGCCCAGACCTGGGGACACACGGGGCTGGCACTGCTGCTGCTGGGCCCCCGGCTGTGATGCGGCAGCCCCGCCCCCGCCCTGGTGTGGCACACTTACCCTTGCCAAACTCATAGCCCATCTTGGCGAGGAGCCTGGAGCCTATGCCCCGGGTGTGCACCTCCCAGCCTGCGAAGGTAGAGCTGCAGGGCCCGTGGTCGGTGGCGCCGGCTTCCACCACTGTAGGAAGCAGAGAGCAGTGGCTGGGCCCAGCGGCACTCAGTACACTGGGCTCCGGCCAACCTTACCCCAAAGCTCACAGCTCTGGGATAGGGCCACAATCCCCTGCCCCTCGGCCTCTGGCCTCTGCCCGCGGTGTCGTGTGACAGTAGGCAGAGCTGATGGCCAGAGTCTGACACAATAGGCTCTAGGCTCCAGCCCTGCCCAGGCCACAGGTGTGCCAGCCCCTCCCCACAGGGCCCGCCCCCAACCCCACTTCCCAGGTGGTGTTCCTACCTCCCCTCCGAGCGTGTCACCTGCTCAGCTCAGTCCTCCCTTCCGTCACCACAGACATGGACCATCTCACAGGGCCACCCCCCCCCGCGTCACCTTAACCAACCCCTCCAGAGGGCTGGACACTGCCAGCCAGTCCCCCTTCCAGAAACTCTCCGCCCCGGGCTGACCCGACACAGCTTAGCTGGTAGAGGTCCCTGCCAGCCGGAGTCTCCCAGGGTAACCGCTGCCAAGGCTGATCCTTGCCCCCACATTCTGGCTTCTGGGACCCTGAGCCACTGCCACACCTTTGGCATAGCTGGGGTCGTCCACGTCGCTGCTGTCTGAGTCAGAGGACCCTGCGGGCTCTGTGCGCAGCGGGGGCAGGATGCTGTCTCCTTCCAACACGGCCTCCTTCAGCAGCAGCGAGTCAAACTTGACCGTGTAGTAGCCGCTGTCCACATCTGGAGGCAGGGACAAAGACAGACCAGGTCAGTGGCCTCAACAGCTGGTAGGAGCCACACTGGAAGCTGGGAGCAAGGGGGGCCAAGGCCAGGGGTAGTCAAGGAGCGGTCATCGGGGAATAACACGTGTGAAGGAGAGGGCTCCCCAGGAAGGGCCCTGCCGGCAAGGCCCAGGGCAGCCTCACCGGTGATCCGTGCTGGGTACCAGAGACCGTCCTGCTGCTTGGCCAGACACGCAGAGCCGGCCTGCAGGGAGCTTAGGTCCGGGTCCTGGAAGGGGCGCAGCTCGTCCACGGAGACCACCTGCCCGTGGGAGAACCTGCAGAGAGGGCCGCAGGGGCGAGGTTCAGACACGGCCCAGCAGGGGCAAGTGAGCAGAGAGGAACCAAGTCTACCCACCAGGGAACTGCCCTGCTGGGAGGGAGACACACACAGGTGCACGCACAAACACGTTATGCACATGTGTGCATACCCGTGTACACACAACCCATACCCACACGCCCAAACACACACATGTGCACATGGGGTGTACACACACTTGTATACACGCGTGCACACACCTGAGCACGCTCTGTCTCGCTCTTGCTCCTGGGACAGACATGGCTACCCCGAGGTCAAGATGCCTCCTGCTGCCCCCAGCTTTCGGGGCCAGTGACGACGCTGCCGGCAGACAACTGTGACTGGAACTCCCCATCGCCTTTCCGCCAGACACCAAGCCGCAGACAGTAACGGGAAGTCAAGGCGGGTGTGTGTGCTCACAGGGCCGAGTCCCCCCCAACCCCAACAGGAGAACCCAGTTCTAATAGATGCCTTGGAGTTTATAGAGATCCATGAACCAGTGAGATTAAAACTGAAACAGGGGGAGAGAGAAAGAGGAGGGGGGGGGGAAGGAGGAGAGATAATATGAGCACAGACAAAAGACGGCAACCTTTCACTTTCCAAGTAAAGACACGAGGAAATGAACCACACATCCACCTCTACTGCACCATCATTTCAAAGCAGAAACTGGCTGAACTCTACGACAGCAACCGAGGACACGGAGCCACTGCCGGGCATTGCTGTCCTTCTGGACTGGGATCAGTGGTGAAGAGCGAGGGGAAATGGAAAACGTTTCGGTCGTTTCCCACAGGGGCAGACGTGGCCTCTGACACCTCTCACCCTGGCTGTCCTCAGGCACACAGGGCACTGCCAATGGCCGAGTGGCACCAGCAGCTGCAAGTCTGGCCCCAAATGTGCTATAGTGGAGGCTATGCTTGGAAAGCCCTGTTCAACGTAGGAGCAAAACATGTTCAAAAGGGAGGACTAAACCCAGGGCAGATTCAACCGAATACAGCTCTTCAACACGCACATGCACTGCACATGTACACACACCCACAGATACCACCAATTAAGCCTTTCTGCAGGAACCTTCAGACCTTAAAACTTGGTACACTCCTTAAACCCAGCCAGCACTTCAAAAAAACAACTCAAATAATAATAATGAAAGTGTGCAAAGGTTCAGCCACAAGGCTGTTAGCCAAATTCTAAAGACTTGGAAAAGACCTAAATTTCCAACCATGAGAAGCAGTTAACAGCAAACCCATAAAATGAATTAAAAACTCACCGAATGGGCACAGTGGCCCATGGCATGAAGAGCCCCATGCATACAAAACTTCACACAGGTCAGGAAGTGACAAATGAGTCAGGAAAAGGTACACGATACATTTCAGAAGGGAAAACATAAAATTGGTTTTTTCATATTTAAAAAAATACCCAACTCGGGCTGGCCAAGTGGCACATTGGTTAGGCGTTGGCTTGGGACACCAGCTCTGAGCAGCAGGGCCCTGGTTCAGATCCCACATGAGGGCCAGTGACACTGCCCTCTACAGCTAAGATGCTGAACAACA